ACTTTTTACTTCTTTACTGAAAACATTTCTAAGGGGTACATAACACAATCCTATAAATACTTCCTGAGAAGTCCAGTTGTGTATACAATAGAGATGGGCAATTTTTGCTCTTAAGAATTGTATTCTTGTGTAATTTTTGAGCCCATAGAGAATGTATGAAGTTTAGGCTGCTGATAAGACCTATGTCACCACCATTCTTGAGAACAACTGTGGTTCAAATCACACAGCATACTAAAGTGTAACCAAACCACATTTTAGTGTATTTTGCTAGCAACAGACACCATTACATTTGCAAATACTTTTGCCTAATATCCAATAAGGAGAGTTTCCATTCTCCCCCTTTCAGAAATACCGGTAACCTGCAATGAGATGGATGCCTAACCAAATTCTGTCCAAAATTCTCTTATGAAAAATAAATTGATCCTTTAAAAAAAAGATTTTGCGCACACAAACATTTATAATCTCCTTTTCTTAAATGGCTGAAGATAATTGTATTATCATTGTCTTTATAACTATCAAGCCCAGCTCCTCCAAACATTCCTCACTCCTGACTCATTATAGCTCGAACAGTTCACAAATAAAGGCAAAAATATTCTGGGGAAAACTTGGATCGGCTCTGAAGATACTAACTTTCCAGTTTTCAGAGGTAAAACAAGAAGTTTTTTTCCAGTAGAAGTATGTATTTTTACTAGTTGGCAAGGATGAAGATGGGGGAAGGAAGGAAGGTAGGTTGCAATTCTAAACAGAGAGTAGATTTCCTAGAACATTTTAAATAAGTAAGTTCAGAAGAAATCTCAAGTAAATTCACATAAGATTGCATTATAACACTGCATCTTGCCATTGATGCAAGCATTGGAGACTTTCTTGCAAAGAATGTGAATGCATTTCCATAGATAATAGCAAAAGTTTTTGTTTGTTTGTTTGCCCACCACTATGTGAGCACTAATCTATTGTGTGGCCTTCAAGGCACCTAATTTGTTTAGAAGGCCACATAATAAAGAAGAGGCAATTCTCTTATAAAAAAAATACAAGATCCTACTACTACAACAGACAGGAAGCTGATTGAGATATGTTTTCACTACACAGGTTAGAATTGCCTAGTCTTAGGAACTGACCAATCTTTTTCAATTGGATGTTTAAATGTATAGCGATTTGATAATGCTGGATTTAAAATGATACTGTTGATATGATAAATAGAAACATAATATTGGCAGAAACTGTAAAATGTACATAGCAATTAAATTGTTCCATTTAGATCAATCAGATTAATTATATCTAAAATTAAAAGAGACAATAAGCCTTTTGAAGTATAGCTATTATTTGCATCTTGTTTTAGAATGATAAATATTAAAATTGTATCCATATTTATATACCCTTCAGCATTTTTTTTAGTTTGATGTGGTTATTTTCCATATACATTTGTTTTGTAATAAAAACACCTCATCAGAAAAAAGAGAAATGGTTGTAGTTGTTACTATTACATTATGCAATTTTCTTCTACCATTCTCTGGTGTTACACATTCTTGGATGCACTTAAAAAAGATTTTGAAAACTGATTTATTCAATGCAGCAGACTAATTGTTGGAAGAGTGGTAAGCAGATGATCATCATGACAGGAAAACTGTTTTCCATTAAATTCTATTAGTAAAGTTAGATGGTTTGTAGGTTTAGGTTGAATATTGTATTATATAATATTTTCACTGTAATAGTAAATATATTATTATTTGTGTTGCTTGCATGCCTTTTATGCAATTTTAACTGCAATTTAATTCTAAATCAGAAGGAATCTAATAACAACTTTTTTAGCTATGGGATTCCCAATGCTTATTTCCTTTTCCTGTTTTATTTAGCCTCTTCATAAAGCTGATGGGTGACCATATAAAGTTCTACCATGAGCCAAATGGGAGATGGAGCACGAGTCCTGAGTGTAGGATGGGGAGGAATAGTCTCAGACTAAAGCCAAGCAAAACAGAAAGATGGCTAATCCAGAAACCAACTGATTCCAGGACTATATCAACATTAACCATTGGGGGCTGTGCGTCCCCTGAAAGAGTAGGGTCACAATGTAGGGGCAAGTAGAGGCTCCGCCAGCAGGAGTCTTGCCCCATTTTGGCTGATATGCCACTTGCAGTCTTTCCTAGAATGGGAGGTATTGAGATCGGCTACTCATACCCATATCACCTCTCAGCTAGACTACTGCAATTCATTCTCTGTGTGGCTTCTCTTAAAAACCTTCTACAAACATCAAGTGTATGTTTACCAGTCAAGCATGTTATTATCTGACATCAGGACCAATGAGTTTCTGAGTGAGTTGAAGATGCTGCTGGTTTTTTCAGCCCACAAATAGAATCTTCCTATCTATTGCACACAAATAGAGTGTCTGCTATGGATTCCCCAACCTGGGATGTCCAACAATAGGGGGGCTCAAAATAGGCATTTTCAGTATGGACTCCCCATCTCTAGAACATCTTGTCTCCAGAAATAAGACTGTCTCCTTTCCCAATGGTATTCCAGAGACTTATTGAACCCTGCTTATTATGGAAGGCCTATTTAGAGAAAGAAGGGCCAAGAGTGAGTGTTGATGAAGGATACTATTGTATTATCTTTATTATTTGTGTACTATTATGTTTGTATTTTATATTGTTGATTTTACCATAAATATCATTGTGAACTGCTTAGATACAAACTGGATGTTCCTATGGCCATGCAAATGCTTCCATTTGTCCTAGGTGCCATTGTTTCCTCATCATGAAAAGCAGTGTATAAATCTCTTAATAAAAAATACCTGAGTAGGGACTTCTGGAGATATTTTTATATGCATTTCCACATTAATTTTATGTAGCATTCAATAACTTCCATAAAAAAGCAATTTGAACACTTCACAATTTTAATACCTGTTTTTGAGTTGCAATCTGACATGACATGCATTATAATAGCAGTATTTTAATAGCATAATAGCAGTATAATAAATATGGTTAAAATCAGTTCCACTGTGTCTATATAGAAGAAAGTGCTAAGAGCTGGAAGATTAGTATTTGATGCTATATACTATACAACAAGTTCCCACTATATTTGATATTATGTAAGATAGTTTAGCTTTTCTTGCAACTGATGCTTTCTTTTGCAAATATCAATCAATAAATAACAAAATACCACCAACCCTAGTTAATACATGACCAGCTGTGTTTTTCAGATTAATCTGGCAATTTAATGAGATACTGTAGACTGTTTGTTGTTTCATTTAGCTAATTATAGACTTTAATACCATTTGGATTATTCTTTTGCTATCACCTATAAGAATGAATCTCATTAGCAAACAAATATGCAAATCATTATTTAGCCAGCACAATTTAAATGTGTGCTTTAATGTCTTTAGTTTGAATACTGGAACTTCCCCAAATAGCTACGTGCCTTTAATTTGTCCACATTGAAAATGTTATTGGATTGTAACTGAGAGAACAGTTTGGGATCTGAGAAAATGTACATAGAGATGCATAATAATCTTCTCAAGTCGATAAATCATGGTCATGTTAACCTTCTAAGATCAATTGATTGGACTATCTGAGGAGCCATCTCTCCTCAATGGGACTAGCCCACCCTTCTCGCGTCAGCAGAAGAGGCCTGCTATAGATCCCATCTGGACAGGTTCAAAGAAAAGAGCCTTTTCCACTGTGGCCCCTCTACCACCGAAGGTGATAGTTGCCCCTACCCTTTTGCCTTCTGGAAGGATATTAAAACTTGACTTTGCTGGTTGGCCTGGGGCCCCAAGGGAGATGATCACTGTCCCATCCATCTCTTGGTTCTTCTTTTAATCTGTGTAGTTTTAATGTTTTAATATTTTAATTATTTTTCTACTTATTTCATAACCTGTAAGCTTCCCAGAGTCACCTTATAAGCGAGATAGGTGGAAAAAAAAATAATAAATAAACAAATAAAGTGTCTAGCGAATAGGTAGAGGACAAAAATAATGCAATACACAGTCCAATCGATTAAAAGAAAAATGAAGAAAAGTCAAATTGAGACCCCTGTGAAAATCTAATTCCCAACATTTCACACCCATATCGGAACTTGATTATCACCCCAGCTGCAGAGCTAGGGAAAACCAAATCTTTACAGCCTTCAAAAAAGTCAACCACGTTGGGGCCATCCATATTTCCAGGAGGAAGCTGCTTCATAAGGCAGACACTATGACCAAGAAGGCATGTTCATTTTTATGCTATGTCTATAGGAAAATCAAAGAGTATATTCTCTATTGCAAAGATAAATGTGGTGATACTATGAGCAATGCATTGCATGTAGGTTTAGTTATACTGTACATTGTTAAGCCATTGAAATCAATGAGACATCAGTTGTTATTTTATTCTTATACTTTAAGGATAACTAAATTAAACCAATCCAGTATCAGGAGACAATAATGAACTACTGTACTAAAGAAAACTGGATCACAAATGTCACATAATTTATTGGATTTTGATTCAGCAGCTGGTGTGAGTTCAGCTTCTGTACTTTGTAAATCATGATTTATATAGCATAATGTAGGAGCCCAACCAATTGTGGTTTATTCACCAATGAGTTATTCAAGATGTACAATTCAAGTCTTCAAAGACCAGATCAGTTAATAAGTCTATAGTTAAAAAAATGTAGTTCAGCTGATAAAAAAGTCATAAAATGGTAGGTCCCAATACCCTTTAGTGCTGCAGCATTAATTACAAAAAAATTAAACTATAATTTCTTTTTCCGGTGTGTTACCTGGTTAAGAAACATTTTTAAACCTTAAATTTGTCTTAAAACATGCTTTTTTTCTGTCTTGCCTGAAAATTGGCTGGAACTTTGAAGTAATCTGATTTCTATCACTATATATCTCCACCCTACCAAGACAATGCAGAGCCAATGAGAAAACAAACAACCAATCCCTAATGGCTCCTACACAGTGCCAAGTGCTGAGAACTTATGCTTGCATTTCAGCTGACAAACGATGCTGGTTTTCTTTGCAGGTTCATCAAAATGGAAAAGTGGAGGTTATTTTACTTACTACTTCTACACATAACAATCATATGCTCCCTCGACTCGGTAAGTTTTACTCTTTCCAAGAAAGTTCTGTATATTTTTAAAAAGGGAGGAGCGAAATGAAAAACCCATGCATAAGTTGCATTCACAAAGTGGATGTAGTGATCCAGAAATGAGCTGCATAGAACAGATTCTCCTAAATAATTAGAATTGTGTTTGATTTTTAAAAGCAACTGGTAGGGAAAGAGACAAAACCTGAACTTGCAGGTTTAATCTGACTGGATAGCATCACTTTGAGCCTTGAAGATTGGGCAATTTCAAAGTTTTATTATATTTTTGTAAGTTTGGTGAAATGCTTACAGGTAAAGTGGAACTTTAAGCTTTGCCTCTCTGGTTCTCATTAGCCTTTTCACAAATAGAACCTTAACAAAAAATGGTTGACTAACTTCTTCCTTCATCTCTTGCTCATAAGTAGTCATGCCAGCAGAGGGCAGATGCTCCCTGCTAGTTCCAAACATTCTTCCTTTCCTTTCTTATTTTGCTTCCCCATTCCCCCTTTGTTGCCAGACTTAAGTCTGGGTGTTATATGTTTCTAAGCTAGCTCTGTATCCCATCCCAAACTTCACTCCATTATATTTCCTGTGCCTACATTGCCTGACTTTTAATTTGGGGTTAGTTAAACCATAACCATCATCAGCATAACTCAACAGGATTTTTTTCCTATCCCTACCCAAAATCTGGAGGTTAGTTTACCTATTTCTAAGATTTAAAAAAAAATCCTATTTCCTCTGTTCTGCATACTAGCTATTAAGCATTCAACTTTAATTTTTCCCATCTTCCTTGAAAATCACTAGATTGCATCAGTATAAATTAGCTGTATATAAAGATGTCACTTATTGAAGCATTCTAATATCAAAAAGGAAGCTACCAACAAAGTCATTTGTTACATATGGTTTATAATCTTTTTCATTGTTTCTTGTGAGTTTTCTTCTTAATACCTCATTAGGTAGGAAATTCTTAAGTTTGGTTGCTAATAATTACTCAGCTATAATGTTCTCAGAACATGCTGATGGGATGTTCCTTTATGATGTTAGTAAAACCTTACATCAAGCAATCATCAGAAGGAACTGCTTTGTCCCTGAATAGTGTAACTGGATTTTACTATTACCATCTTGGCAGTCAATGAACATAGGGTTAGAATTAAAATGTAAGAGGTGTGGATAAGGTTTGAGACACAAAGGAATATCTTTGCTGTTTGTAATTGTCCAGATGTTGAATTCCAAATTCATTCCAAATTATCAGTATTTGTAATTGCCTTATGGGGCTCATGTAAGAAAAAAAGAACACCTTTTGTAAAAGATTGTATATTACTTGGATGTAATTCTTAACTTGTAACTGGCCATATTCTTTCTATATATATAAATAAAAATGTAAATGTTCGTTTGTTCAAAATCTTAAATCTCCGAAAGTTCTTCACCGATTGCTTTGAAATTTTGACACAACGTTGCATTCGAATACGCGCGTGTTTTTATATACCTATATTATATAGATGTCACACCTGTGACAGTTAAAAACATGCTTTTTTGAAAAACAGCACCATCTGTTGGACGTAAAAGCAACATACGCTTTTACCAGACTGGATACAGCTAGTAAGTTATAAAATAAAAGTTTGTGTGTGTTAATCAGGCATAGCAGCTTTGACAAACATGCAGTTATATGCCTGGAAACCAAAGGATTTGACAACAGCTGTTTAATATCTGGCTTTGAATTTAGATTTTTTTTTAAATGTACTCAGTAAAGCAGGCTGAGTCAGTTACAATCTGTTTCCAATTAGTGATCTAGCCACAACCTAAATAACATCCCTCCCAATAATTATGTTTTTGTTTTGCATTTTAATGGCTTTTAAGGAACTATCCTCAATCACTTTAAAATTTAGAATTCTGCAATGTTCCAGGTAAGTGGCTTTCCACTTACTTGTGAAATATAGTTATAGAACAAAAATTTGGAATTTTTCTTCTAATTTTTTTGGTGCATAGAATTTGCAGAAGATTTCTGTTGTGGTATTTGTAAACATGCAGAAAATGTCTTTTCCCAAAAAAAAGCAAATGTAGCATTTTCAACTCAAGAAGTCTGGTGTTGCCCTTAAATGACTTGTTTGAAGATCAACAAGGGGGTGGGAAGGAAATTGGTGATTATTTGTGATATAATTTATTCAGATAGGTGTTTGATCCACTCCCTTTCTTGTGTTGGAGGCTTTGGGATTTGGTAAATTGTTCAGAAAAAGTCCCAGAACTTTATTTAGTGTTTTTATATCAATATTAAAAGCCGCAGTATATAAGAATAGATATTGCAGAACTTCCATTTCAGCTATGCTACTAATGATAGACAACTAAAACTTTCATTTTCTTTGGGGAAGAAGGAAATGATCCTTCCTTCTTTCCTTCCTTCCTTCCATCCATACATCCATCATAAAACTAAAGGAGTGGGATGAAACACTCAGGAATGTGATTTTATTTAGGTTTGTTATTGCCAAATATACATTTTAAGGCAAATTGAAAACTGAGGCTGACATAACATGATAAATTGTACTTTCTCATTTGTCTCTAGCAACTTACTTCCACAGAGTACATCAAACTTTTTTTTAACCAGCCAATCTTATTTCCAGTATAACAAGTGGGCAAGGAGAAAAGTGACAGGTGAGACAGTGTGGGGAGAAGGGAAGTAATGACAACTCTGATGTAAAAAGTGGACATTCCACCTCTTGTTTCAGGTGGAAATTACATGCAGTTAAAAATTATTTTTCATCACTATCCTTTCAACCTTCAGTTGCATCCTAACAAAAAGATCATTTTTAATGGGTTAAGAAGTTCATATTTAAGAAAGATCAAAATGCTCCTACTTGCTTGAATATTTTTCAATTGGACAGTCAATGTTGGGCGCATGTGTGTTTTTAAAAATCCCACTGAGCAACATTTAAAGGATAGGCCATAATCAGCTAGGACCTACAGAGGGGTAGCGAGCTGGGGAATTTTGGGAGTTGAAGTTCACAAGTCTTAAAGTTGTTAAGATTGGACAACTCTAGAGCAGCTAATAGATTATACTATATGTGTGTGTGTGTGTGTGTGTTTGTGAGGTTACTATTACAATGCTGGTGATGTGTTAAGAGTTCTAATTTGGAATTTTTATTGTTTATTTGTTTGCTAGCCATATAGGATTGTTTTATGTACTAGAGATGATCATATAAAATTTTCAAATAAGTAACAGAACAATCCTAGGTTGGTCCCAGAATTAATTTCCTGGGAATTTTCTTCCAGTTTTGGCATTCTTATCTCAGTCTTGAAAATTGAAGAGATCCATTTGCTGTTTAATAATAGTTCTTTCTGGCATGAAGCTTGTGGGTTCCTAACCTGTCCATTTAGCTCATATCATTAAATAGGAAAAAGTCCATTTTCTGTCATGCTTGTTTCATTGGACTAGGAATGCTTCTAGATAAGCATTTATTGATCTTCATTTTTTAGGAACTGCATGCTTGTCTATTTTCTCAAAGCTGTTTCCAGCTTTTTCTCTAGTGACAAAAGCACAAAAAGAGATGGAAGAGTAACACATTTGCCACAAGGTATTCCTCTCTCTGCATTTTCTCTTCCATCACACAAAAACTCATTTCTTATGCTAACCCAGCAACACAGCCAGCTGCAGGAAAACTGCCTTTTACACTGATTGTTAGAGCATTAGCAAAGCTCCTTTGGACTGTCATTTTGCCTTTCCCTCCAGAATGCTTTTCTGACTAGCTGCCTAATCTCAGCATATGTTTTCCACTGCCATAGATTGGATTGCACTGAAAGGCAAGAATTAAATGAAAAACAAAAAAATCTAAAATGCAACCCAAATATTTAAACAGTGAACATGCACTTCATCTTGATCCAGAGTCAATATGCCTTGAGCAACAAATGTTTATTTAACACAGCCTAGAAACGAATGCGAAAGATGAGAAGGACTTGGTTTAAAAATAATGACTTAATTTTCTTGTTACCAGTCTTACATATCCACCCATCGCTACCTTCCCATCTAGTTCATTTCCTGCTGTTGTTCAGCAACCCTGAATTATGTCTTAGAGAATGAAAATAAGGAGGAAAAAAGCCTAGCCCCGGATTAATAATCTCTTTTACCACAAGTAATAGTATGTTTATGTTTTCTGGCTGTGGTAATCTCCTACTTTTAAGTCCAGCCAAACTTAATTAAGTTGAAGGCTTATGTTTTAAACTGATGAATTTCAAATGCACAATTATAAGAAAATAATTTCTGGTGTTGTCACATTGATAGAAAGAGAACATTAACGGAATAATGTGATTTTGAACATGATGAATATACACAGTATTTATATAAAGCAAAGCACCTTTGGCATCATATGTCATTTTTTTCAATCTCCAGAAATTCCCACTGCAAATGTTGGAACTGAAAAATAACAGTGTAAGCCAGAATCTGGTCTTTTTGGTCCTGTGGGCATATTTGGAATTTTTAGAGAATGTTGAGGCATGTTTCATAACTGGTATGGTCAGTTCCTAAATTAGCAAAAGGCAAACTGGTGAGGTTATTGGAAATACAGATGACGCGTGAGGCTTTTGTTGTGTAGTATTCTAGTTTCCCCTTTTAAAGTTAATATTTTTAAAAGGTAGTACAGGGATCCTGGTGGATACCAGGAGAAGGATATGACCCTTTAACTTGGGAATGCTGGCAATGTGGATCCAATAGTATAAACTGTTAAGCAACTTACAATTTACTACCCATAACTGGGGAAGAGGGTTAGAACATTAAGAATTTATTCTATGTCTGTATCCATATAGCCTCTTTGCAAGGGCACACCAGTGTTTCCAAAGGACATGCCCTCAGGTTAATACCTGTATCTTACTGTCAGTTCACAGCTGAGGCAGATCAGAAGCTAACTGAGATGCCCCATTTTGTAAGATATGTTTCCTTTTTATTCTGGATATAGAACCTCCATGGCACATGGAAAAAAAATATGAGGTTGAAGGTGGCAGAGTGTTGGTCACAACTGGTCTTACAGTTTTGCTTAGGACAGCTTTTTCTATCCTGTATCCTAGACTTTGCTCCAGTGCTGTTTTGGCTGTGAGGGGATTTGGAACCCCAGCTTCTATCGCCATTTCCCCCCTCTTTTTTTAAATATATAGGTTGACCTGTCAGTTGGTTGACCTAATCCCTGGCTAAGTGCATGCAAATGAAAATATAATTTTAACATAAAAATCCACTTCTGTGCTTTTGTGACTTTTTGTGGTAGGGCATTCCCTTCACAGTGCCTGCACTTGTAGCTCCCGCACTGATCCTTACAGCAAAACTGCCTTCTCAACATGGGTCCAGCAGCTGCATTTTAGAACTCAAATGACCACTGGATGGTGGCCTAGATACATAAAAAAAATGACTGCTGCTACCTTATAAGGATTTTTTAAAGGTTCAATCTGTTAATCATGGATGGTCACTGGGGAAAAACATTACTGTCTAAGGAACAATGGAAAGGTTGTACATAGCAGTTAGATGTGGCTTTTCATATGATAGTTGGTGTTGAAGGGTCTGGAATGTCAGCTGACATGGTGTCAACTTGGAATATAATGTGTTAAAGTTGAATGGATACCAATGCAGCAGACTCGCATTTCAGGAAGAGGCACCCTATTTAAACAAGATTTGGAGTGGCGTGATTTCCTGCTGGCTTTTGAATGGGAATACAGCAGAGCAACTGGATGGATGTTAATTGCTAATCTCATGTCACTCCCTTCTGCTTTTCTTCCCAGGCACAGAGCACATGCTTTTTGACCTTCCTCCTGGTAGAACATAGTTAACTAGGTCCTGGGATTGGTCTGTCCATATGAAGAATTTCCCATAAATAAATATCCTTTCTACTCTACTTAGGAAATCGGCTTAATTAAGTATTGTTTAGATCAGGTTCTGGTATTAAGCCCACTAACATATGCACAGAATGATTGCTCCATCGTATCTCATTCCTCAATGGCCTTCAGAGCATGTCTATGAAATTCCTTACATTGCCCACTTTGGTAATATCAATCCACCAGTTACTCATAAATTTTATTTGGTGCCAAACATTTCTCTGTCTACAGTATATAAACTCTAATTATGTCCTGAATCAGCATCAATTAAACTTGAGAAAAATAGCACAGAACAAGTATGAACATTAGAGAATGCATGTCATTTATCAACACTTTTATTTAGAATAACAAAAATGAGGGATGTTGTACATCCTGTTTGTTTATTAATTCACTTGATATCAACTGAATCCTCTTGAAATTCTTTTGTCAATTTTAAAAAACAGTCAAGAGAGGGTTTTCTAACACACATTATTCTATATATCTTGAAAATCCCCCACTTTTTTTTTTTTTTTTTT